CATGGCTCAGAAAAAACAATTTGTGTGTGTGGAGGGTGCAACCCGCTATAAAAGTACCAAGGGATTAAATAAAGAAGTGGAAACATTATCAGATTCAGGAATATATAACCTATCATTAAATTTACAACAAATTAGTATCATGATAGATGAGCTATTTCTAAAGCTTGCCTACAAATAATAAAAAAGGAAGAATGTTTTCTTCCTCCATTAAGTTTATTGGTGCATTTTAGGTGTACAATACCATTACATTCATCATTGGCATCTTGTACTATTACATGACAGATCTTGGTTCTTATTTTTCCCCATTCCCCTGCCCTCCCTTCAGGAAGAATGTTTTCTATAGAATCAGTCCCAGCAGTTGCTGTAACATAAACAACAGCTTCTTAAAATTTCCTAAGTAGAAAAATAGAACAATATCTAATATGATACTTTAAAAATATTGCTAGTTTACCTCATCAATAAAACTAATCATATTTTATCTGACAAACACAAAAGACAATGTCTTTAGCTAAAGTCCAACGCTATACATGAAATCCATCCAAAAGGTCTGCTCAGTGTACACTTTCTGGAAAGCTATTTGGCCATTTAATTAATGTGCTGTATGTTTAAATGCCAACTCTGGAACTCATCCTCTGGAGCTCATTACAGATCAAACTGACATACAATAGCAAAACCATGAAAACCACTCAGATGTCTAATAATGAAGGAATGAGCAAATATATTAACTACAAAGGCATTAATAATGTTCAATCCCCATGTAAGAGACACATTTATAATCTCAGCTACTCAGGATGTAAGAGCCTGACTGAACCAGAGCAACTCCATGTTGACCAGCAAACGACCTAGAGACTGTCACCCCCCCATCCCTTATAGGATAACTAATGATTAATTGTGAATTGTTAGGTAACTGCTTTGAAGTAGCTGGGAAACTATAGTGAACACAGAGATCCAACATAAATCATGCCACTCCTTACTTGCCTGTAGTTGAATGTTCTGAACATTATAATCTAAGTTGTAAATGGAATAATGGATAATCGATCTGCTGATCATTAGTACGTGACGGTCAAGTATATGCTTGATGACCATCAGTTCAGATCAGCGGATTCTTTGCCTTTGTCCTGTTCCTGTAAGTTTTAAGTGTAAACCCCCCCTTAGTCCTATATAAAATGGCCTCTGTTTCTGAGCTGGCCGCCTCTCTGAGCTACTTGGCTCTGGGAGTGCCGTCTGGCCAGACTAATAAAGGTCTATTTGCCACCTTGCCTGGTGTGTTCCTTCCTGGGTGACTCCCGCTGTCCGACAAGCTCCTGGAGCCTCGATGAGCTTCTGAGCCCAGCGTCGTGGAAGCCTCTTGGCTGTTCACGCTCCAGGAGTAAAAGTGAGACTTAAGTCTTACAAGGAGGCCAAGGCAGAACTGAAAGTTCAAACCAGCTTGGACAATTTCTTGGGACCTTTTCTCATTCTAAAACAATATAAAATACTATACCAGGACACTGTGGTACACAGGTATAAGTCCCAAAATTTAGTGAGACACTGCCAAAAAATAAAAAAGGGCTGTACATGTAGCTCAGCGTTAGAGCTTCCTAGTGTTCAATCCCTAGTACCGGTGGTGGGGGGGGAGTTAAACACATCTGAAAGTGCAGACTACATACAGGTAAAAAAGAGGTATCTTTAAAGGAATACAATCTCTCAATTTGCAGTTCCACAGTTGTAACCTCATGTGTATCTAAAGAAATGGGTGGAAAAGTAGACAGTACATTAACTATAAGTTCTAATTCTCTCTCCACTACGTATTAGTTTTGTTACCCCTGAATTTTCACTTAAACTCTCTGGATATCCTCACTCCAGCTGCAAAATGATGGCAAAATTAGACTACTTTTCTACAAACTCTTAAGACTCCAGATTCAGATTTCTGCAGTCATCCCAAATATCTTCTTTTCCTAAAGAATACAGTGTTTAATACATTTGTATTACTGACTCTACAAATCAAACATCCACACGAAATATAAAAATTGTGCATTTGCTCTTTTAAAGATTAAGGCTTAGCACACACTGTTTCTATCTTAAAAATCTCTAATCCTTTGATCATTATCCCGTTCTTCATCTTTAATATATTCTATAGGACGCATACATTAATTTCAGCCTGAAGTTTAAGTAAAGGGATGAAATTTATCAAGGTGTCCTTTTCAGGATTTTAAAGGGCACCAACAAGTATGCTCCAGTTTTTTCTTTCTTAGTTGGTATATTTATATATAAACATATATGGTATATTTATATGTTTTCTTCTTAGTTTCATATATTTATGGGGTATAATGTGATATGTGTACACAACATTAGATGATTAGATCAAGTCATTTAATATCTCTTCATTTATTTTTTTGTGGCAATGGGTTTATTTTTCATAACAGAACTTATCTCCAAGGTCCGGGTGGTCAGTGCCTGAAATCTCACCATTCTTGGAGGCTAAGGCAGGATGATCTCAAAAGTCCAGCCCAGACAAGCAACTTCATGACTTTGTGAGATAGTTCTCAAAATGAAAAATAAAAAAAGGTCTGAAGATGTAGCTCACTGAACCAAAAAATTAAAAAATTTACAAAAAAGAACCCAAACTAAAAACCCAGAACCTATCCATATCATTAAAATTTAAAATGAACAGTCAAATATTAATAGTGGTACCACAGGGGCACTGTAAATTGAACAGCTTTGCAGAAGTTTTCCTGATGTATTCAGTAAATAATGCAAAAGAGGGGGAAGATGATACTTTATACAAACTATGAGCCCACCACTGTAGTCTACATTTGGAAATATCCTGAGGCCCTTCTCAATGTTTTTCCACTGTTTCTGCATTAAATGGGTAGAGCCCCTATAAATAACAATGGTTACTACTAATCTATCCCTCTGGGCAGGCCTGGTGCTAGGCACTTAACAATTTGCATCCACTTCCTCCTTAGAGCAATTCTGTAAGAAACACTACTCTGCGTTTAACAGAGGAGAGAGTAAGGGCTCAAAGAGGATGCAAGGCTACTAAGTGGCTGATGCAGATTTCAAGTCCTGAGGAGCTTGACATCCAAGTCTGTGCTTATTAAGTTAAGCTATACTATTTATTAAAGACATAAGCATAAAAATCAGCAAGAAGTTTCCCAAGGATATATTCAAACTTCTTAGGTATTCCATGCATAACTTCTCTGCAACAAGCACAACTGCTTGTAGTAACACATTTAGCTACAATGTAAATTAATTCAATCTTGTAAAAGGGATAGGACTTATAAGGTGACTGCCATTCTTATCTCAAAGAAACATCAGAAAATTCATTCCACTCAGGCTAAATAAAGCCTTAATATGTAATTCATAATAAGGCCTTGAACTCCCTACATAGCCCATGCTGGTGTCAAACTCTCAGCGATCCTTCTGCCTCTACTTCAGTGAGGCAAAACTTAAAAAAGAAAACAAGCTTCCCCAATCTTAAGCAGTTCCTCCTTAGACTCTCCCTTCTCTATGGCTCTTGCAAAGTTGCCACTGCCACTGCTCTATTAACTGCCTTTGTAACACTTCTATGAGCTAGCTTGCAAATAGATACAGCCATCCCTTTGCCCACATGCATAAAACTAGAGCCATTTTTTATTCGGGGCTCAGCCTTTAGATATGATTCTGCTAAGCTAGAACAATAAATCCTCTGTTTCACTTGTTGGTCTCTCTGGACTCTCAAAGTCCCACAACTTCCCAAGTGCTGCCATAACAGGCACGCACCAGCTCACCCAAGCTCCCTTACCACATAAAAGTTCTAATATGAGTACACTTCCTAAAGTTCATTTTTCCTTATTAATTTTAGTGGCACTCTTAGATACACCTGTACAAATGAGTCATTCTAAGAAGAAAAAAAAAAAGAGATACAAGTAGGCACTTTTTTTTTTTTAAACTTCTATGCAACATTCTTTAATAAAGGTTCGGATTTCTGCTAATCCCTTTTTCTCCAAGTCTTACTCACCCTCGTTGCTCTATTACACCAAGGACTAAAGAGTCACAAGCAATCACTTTGGTCTCTGACCCCAGGACAAGTGAAAATAAATTGGACAGGTCAAGCTAGTACAAGGAAACAAAGGAGTCAGTGCATCCCTCTCTTCCCTCTATTCAACTGTAAACACCACACCACCCTAATGATTATCCAGCTTTTATTACACAATTGGAAACAGTGAAGTTGAAGGCTGGGGATTTAGCTCAGTGGTTCCACCACCTGTCTTGCAACTGCAAGGACTCCCCAAAAAAAAAAAAAAAAAAAAAAAAAAAAAGAATTAGACACAGGGAAGTTGAGGGAGCCACTCTCTTCTTTCCTTGATTCAACTATAAACACACCTGCTGTGTACTAAGAGAGGTACAAAATAACAAAGGCCTAGGCGGTCAAGATGCTTGAGGCAGCAGATCATTAACTCAAGTGAGTCTCAGAGGAAGGCATCTAGAGCAGAGCCAGAGGTGCCTGCAGCTAAGTGCGATCTTCAATAAACGTGGCGATTTAATACCTACTGCCAGGTGCGGCAATTCGTTCCTCCAGGTACATGAGAACCGGGACTATTTCGGCTCACTCAACTACGAGAAAGCTGCGACAGCATTCAGGAAGGTGCCCACATCTGTCTCCTGCTTTCACAGTGAGGCTCTTCCTCCCAAGTGCCAACTTGAGAGAGCTATTCACTTTTTTTTTTTTTTTTTTTTGTACCGGTGATTGAACTCGGGTCCTTGCGCTTACAAGGCAGGCCACCGAACCGCTGAGCTAAATCCCCGGCCCTAGGGCTATTCACTTTTGAGTTCTGGAAAATGACAGACTGACAAAAACCCCACCCTTAGGGAAAGTAACAGACGGAGTTAACCCGTCAGCTGTCCCCACAAACCATAAAGGAGGGCACACCCCCCCACCCCCCCGCACAAGCTCAATTTGATCCTCTCCAAACATCCACCGCACCAAAGGAACAGCCCTTTCACGGCTACATGGAATTAAATCTTCATTTGCTGACCTTGGAGCTAAAATCTCTGCCCCCGGGAGGTGACCCTGGGCAGCCCCTTCCCACGCCACCGGCCAGCGCGCAGAGAGCAGGACCTGAGGGAGGCCTAGAGGGAGGCGCCCGCCGGGTCGCCGGCGAATGACACTAACGAAGGTGGTCTTTCTTACTGCAGCCCCAGGAGGGTCAGCTCCATCTCTTCCTCCCAGAAGAGCGAGCGGAACCGGTTGGAGATGAGCGCCAGCACGGTGCAGAGCTGGAGAGGACAGACAGGAGGGCGGGAAACGGCCACAGCGAGGACTTCCACACCAGCGGGGCTCGGGCGGACCCTTTAAAGGTTCTCTGGAGCCTCGGCGGGAGTCGGGCACACACTGGAGGGATCGGCTGCGGGAGCCAGGAAGAGAGCGGGCCACAGGCCAGCACCACGGACAAGAGCGGCGGGGGGGACACCCTTCCAATCGCACCCGCCGCCCGCAGTGCCACCTGGTGGGGTCGGGTGGCAGCACATTATACCGTCTTTGCCAGCGGCCTCCTTGTATGTCCTCTCCCTCAGTGATGCTTCATTGAATCATTATTTCTTTATTTACTCAATCATTTCACTCACTTATTCATTCTTTCAATTTTTCTGTAAGTGTGCATTGACAGTGTACTCTGTAAAATTTCACTTGCTCGAATCTGTGGAGAACTGGTTGTAGAAAAGTGTTATTGAATTCTGTCCTTTTCTTCCTCTACAAAGATTTGTTGAAGGCCTACTTTCCATTACTTTAGAATGTGACATTTTGGGGGGATACAGATGTGGTTCAGCGCTAGAGCACTTGCCTGGCATATACACTGCCCTAGGTTCCATCTGCGCACTGGCCGGGGGGCGGGGAGGGAAGAGAACATTTTTGGAAATAGGGTCAGTTATGATCAGTTGGCATCATACTGGGATTGGCGGACAGCTGATGCACGAAGACTGGTGTTCTTTCAAAGAGAGCAGACACAGTTAACAAAATGGAAAGGCCGCGTGACAAGCAAGGCAGAAAAGGAAGGGTGGCGGGTGTGGGTGAGGCCACACCAAGGGTTTCCAGGGAGCTGCAGAAGCTGAAAGAGATTGTGGGACCTAAATTACAAGCCCTTGCTAAATGGCAAAGGGCCTAGGAGACAGTGTCCTGAACCCTCCCATTGTAGCCACAGCCCCGACCTTTGTTCCATCCCTGGCCTAAGAATGTGTATCACTCTTGTATTGTTTGAAGTCCGGATCTGAATCTACCTGTAAATTAGAGACTCCAGACATAGAGCCCCAAGTTAATTGACAAACTGTTTGCTCATCCAGAGTGTCTTGGTGACCTTTGAGACATCCTATGGGTGGTACCTGTCACTCATCAATATGTGACTGTTGAGCATGTGACTGCTGACCACCAGCTCAAGTCAGCAGACCTTTGTCCCCTGTCTGTGAGCCCAAAAATGTTAACCCCCTCTTTTACTCCCTATAAGAGGACCTCAGCCCCTGAGCTAGGCGCCTCTCTGAGCCAGCCACTTGGTTCTGAGAGTGCCGTCTGGCCAGACTAATAAAGGTCTTTTACCATCTAGCCTGGTGTGTTCCTTCCTGGGTTTCTCGTTCTCCGTCGAGCTCCCGGAGCCTCGCTGGGTGTTAGGGCCCAGCATCGTGGAGGCCTTTTTGGGCTGTTCACACTCCGTGGAGTGGAACTGAGACTTTAGGTCTTACAAGATGAGGAAAACTTTTCCTCTAGAGCCTTCAGAGAAAGCCTTGCCCTGTGAGACTTGGACTCCAGACATCAGTCTCTGGCTGTGAAACAATACATCTTGGTGTTCTGTGGGAGCCAGCCATGGCCCGCTGGCATTTGACAATGGAAAAATAACTTCTTCTTCTACCATTGAGGCATTGATACAATCTATGATTCTGTCTGTTTGTTTATTTGGCTTTTCCAAGACAGGGTCTCAGATATGCAGATGAGATTGACCTGGAGCTCACTGTGTATTCCAGACTGGTTTTATGGGATTACAGGGTGCGTGCACCACTACGCCCGGCTCAAGAACCTCGTTAAATTTGTTTGTTCTTTGGCCCTGTGATGGGAGGAACTTGAGAGATAGCCAAAGATCTGATCTTCTCTGTAAGAGTGAGAAAATCCGGTCTTTGCATACAAATAGTTGCTTGGTGCTTCCTGTTGGTGTGCCTTTAAAAGGAGCTGTTTCTGTGAAATAAATCAGACCTCTAGTCTCCACACTATTGAGTGTGCTGTCCTTTCTCAATCCTCACTACCCAACTCAGGTATGTCCCTTTTGTGACAGCTGGACCGCCACAGTGTTCGGCCTCCCAGTCCGCGGCACTGCTTTATGGCAGTCCTCACACTACACAGAAAGGAAAAGGGGAAGGAATGCTGGGGCAGGGCTCAGGGCTACAGCCTCAGCTTGGGGAGTGCAGGTGATGGCTGGGACTATGCCTTTGTGAGCCCTTGGTTGTGGGCGGACACATGGCCTCCGGTCCAACAGGAGAGATGGACAAGGAAAAAGAAAACAAATAATTTTATTTTTCTGTATTTAATTTTTAGTGCCAGGGTTCGAAACTAGGTCCTCATGCTTGTAGGCCAATGCTCTACCACTGAGCTACATCCACAGGCTAAGCTAATTTTTCATTAGTACATGCATGTAGGACATAAGGGATGCACTCACTGGGAGAAGTTGGAACAGGTACATAATATATGTTGATTCTTTTTACAAAACTTTCCACTGCTTCCTCTCACACCTGCTACATTTTTCCTACCTTCCCTCCCTGATTTGCCATCTTTCCCCCCTCATTATCTGTACTTTAGTTTGCTCATCATTTATATTTGTGGTATTTCAAGAGAAACCATATGATATTTAAGCTTATGTATCTGATTTCTGTCACTTAATGTTTATGGTCTCAAGGTGCATCCATTTTCCTACAAATGACTCGTTTATCCTTCTTTCTGCCAAATGGTAGTACTCCATTTATTTATTTGGACTTGCCCTGTTTTTCTGATGTGGGCACTTACAGGTTTTCATTGTGTCCCATAGGTTTTTGTATGTTGTACTGGCATTATTGTTTGATTCTAGGAACTGTCTAGTTTCTCCCTTGATTTTTTTTTTCTGTGACACATTTATGGGTCAAAGGAGTATTATTTAATTCCTGTGTTTTTGTATAGCTTCTGTGATTTCTTTGTACATTGATTTCTAGTTCCATTGCACTATGAGCTAATATATTCATGGGATAATGTCAATTCTTTTGCATTTACTTAACTATGCTTTATGGGCTAGCATGTGGTCTATCTTGAAGAAAGTCCCAGTGCTGCTAAGAAAAACCTTCTATTGTTGTTGTGTGGAACAATCTATTAAGTCCATTTGCTCAAAGATTTGGCTCAGCCATGTTATTTCTCTGTTGATTTTCTTTTCTTTCTGGTGTGTGTATAGTTGATTTATCTATTTGTGACACTGGGTACTGAGGACTCTCACTGTAACTGCGTTGGTGTTTATCTGATTTCTTATTCCAGTATTGTTTGTTATACAAAGTTGGGCATGCCCATGTTTGGGGAATATAAGTTTATAATTATTCTCTCTTCCTGGTGAACTGTTACCTTAACCAATATGTAGCGACCCTTTTTTTGTCTCTTCTGATCAGTTTTGACTTGAAATCCACTTTTTCTGAAATTAGGATAGCTGCTCCTGGTTATTTCTAGGTTCCTATTGCATGGAATATTGTTTTCCATCCTTGGTTTTAAATCAGTGTATTTCTTTTAGGATTGAACAAGTTTCTTGTATATTGCACATTGTTTTCTTTCATGATTGATTCTGCCAATCTGTGCCATTTGATTGAGGAATTCAGACAATTCATATTGAGAGTTATTACTGATTTTTTTTTTTTTTTTGGTACTGGTGATCAAACTCAGGTCCTTGTGCTTGCGAAGAGGGCGGCGGCACCACTTACCCAAACCCCTTGCCCATTATTTTTGAATTTTTAAGTTGAACTAAGTTATTATTCAGCATAGCATTTAAACAGCTATTAAAAACACAAAGTTGAAACCACGGTTTTGTGTGTGATCGGTAGTGGTGCTTTTTTGTCAGCTCACTAGAAGGATTAAAGTGGGGAAGGTCCAACATCAGCACAAATTTGTATGTGACCCTAATAATTAAATACAAAATCAGATTGACAAAAAAAATAGAATTAAATGTGTCCCTTGTGTGCAGCACATTTTTGGATCTTGCTTCTTGATCATTCTGCCAGTCTGTTTCTTTTGGTGAACTGAGACCATTAATATTGATGTTATTAATATGTATTGACTTATCCCTCCCATGTTATTATCCTGTTGGCTTCCTTCTTTCATACTCTAATTTCTTGCCTTGCCTAGTGGAATTATTCTGCTGGGGTTCTTGGAGTTGTAGTCCTTGTTACCTCTTCCTAGAATATCCTTCAGCGAACGTCAGAGTCCTGGTTTAGTGATCATGAAATTTCTCAGGTGTCCTTTGTCATGGAAGTATCTTATTTCAGTATTTCAGTGTACATCAATCTGGGTTGGAGACTGTTTTCCTTTAGGGCTTGAAACACTTCACTCCAAGGTCTCATTGACTTGAGGGTTTGTGGTGAGAAGACTGCTGTGATTCTGATGGGCTTTCTTTATAGGTGATCTGTTTATTTTCTCTAACAGCTTTTAATATTCTGTCCTGTTTAATTTCTGGAATCTTGGCTATTGGGGAAGATTTTTTTTAATCATGGCTATGTGGAGTCCTATATGCCTTTTATCTGTATGCAAATTCTATTTCCATTTGGGAAGTTTTCTGCCGTTACTTCTGGGAATAGGGTTTTTTAATGTCTATTGCATTTAATTGAAATGCAATGACCCTTTTCGTGTTACCTCTCCATTTCCAGCTTATAAGTAAGGTCACAATTTATGTCATCTGTCAGGAAAATATAGATTGGCTAAGACAACACACAGACCTTCAAACAATGAGTCTCTGAATAAGTGTGTTTTCTGAGTTTTACAGGTCCAGGATGCTCAGTGATCTCCAGACTGAAATATGACATACACAACCTATGTTCCAGAACTGACCATGTTGAAGACAAAGAAATTACACTGCTGCCCATCTAGTTCCAGCTGAGATCTGAGATAATATTTTCAGGAAAGGTGGTACAAACTTTCTGCAGCACCAGCAAGGCAGCCACGGGTGTAAGCCTTTCCACCTTGCCCTGCTTTTGGTGGTGGTACTAGGGATTGAACCCAGAGAGTTCACACTGGGCTACATCCCCACCCTTTTTTAGATAGGATCCAAGTTGGGCTTAAATTTGTGATTCTCCTACCTCAGCCTCCTAGACTGCTGGGATCACAGGTGTACACACACTATGGACAGCTGCCAACTTGTTAATAAAACCTTTTCTTTTCCCATCTCTTTTTCTTTTCCTGTTTCTCTTTGGCAGCAGAACCAGACCTTTCATGGTTATAAACT